GAAATATAAATAACCATCGATACCTTGTATACAGGTTAACCACACTCGTTTATAGGTACTGGTATAATATACAATAAACTCCCAACAAATGACTAGTAAATGACTATTAAAACCTTTGATGACCTTTAAATGACCTAATGACCTTTAAATGACTAGTAAAATATTTAAATGTACTACAAACGTTTTCGAATGTTATTTCCGGTCTTCTTCAGGTTAATCTAGCAATTACATGTTTTACATTGACACTTTATAATTCATGAGACTGATTTATAAGTCATGAGACTAAAATTCAGTTTCTAAATTTTCAGTTTTAAAAAATGGATAGACTTAACAATATCTGAAGTTCATTTCCTTTTCTAAATGCCTCTTAGACTTTCATAAATTTCTCATACTCTTATACTTCCATTATTTAAGAAAACACGAAGCACTTACATATTTAAGGCTATCCATTTTCGAGTAATGTGTTTACAAATAGAAATCTACTCAATTTGTTAGATAGGTAAACACATTAGGGACATTCTTTCCTACAGAAATTATTAGTAAATGGGATGTATAAATTATTCTGCATCAAAATTTAGTATATGTCTACTAATCTCTAAACATAAGTTACCCAGTTATATTGCTCAAAGTAGTTTGCGTATTCAGAAAATACAGCTTTATGAATATCAAATTAATGCCACGTCTTAAAGATGAATACAGTAGAGTCTCGAAAACTCGGCACTCGATAACCCGTCACTCCGGATAACTCGGCCACACCCTGGCAGGGCAAAAAAATCCTTAGTTAATTAATTTTCATTATAGACAGCTTTATAAAAGTATAAAAGTTCTTATAAAGTATTTTTCTAAGATCTGTCTTATCAGGCAAATTACTGTAGACAATTCATTAATTTTCATTTTCATATAGTAAATGCTCCATGCCTTCATAAAGGACGTACTTTTCCTTTGTTTAAGAGTATTTGGGCAGTTTGTTCTCTGTTGTATTCTCAAGTAAACAATATATACAAGTACAGTACAGTATTTTCTGAGGAAACGCTCATACTTATTTTTTTAAACCCCGTTTCCGATAACCCGGCATTTTCACAAACTCGGCCACCCTTCGGTCCACATTAGGCCGAGTTTTCGAGGCTCTACTGTACTAAGAAATTACTTTCATTAAAATTAAAAAAGACCACTAGGATCTCCAGGGAGGTCTTTTATGAGGCACTTATTTAGGTGATACTTGCAGTGTTTAGAGCTAATCGATTGTAAATATCGGAACAATACTCTTTAGCAATATCATCTTTTAGTAACTATGATTTTAAATTATAATATCTATAATTATTAAATGAACACACATGCAATCATTAGCATTTAATGCATTACATAAATGACCGTAACAAACATGTTAAATGTATGATAGTAAAATGCAACACGAAATCCATTAACATTAACTTCGATTTTAAGAAACTTACGTAAACATGAAGATGATATCTTCTGGCAGATATTAAACATAATGTTTAATACGAGCTATTATAAGAATTTCCAATAAATATCGTAAAATTTATAGCTAAAGTAATATATGTGGAATTTTAATGCAGGTTTACATTGCCATAGAAATATTGGAGTAATATGGAATTTTTTGAATTCTATATGAGACATAATGCTACAGAAGATCGAAGTGGTAGGAACAGGACTGACCTATTTCCTTGTGATCAAAGTAAAAATATTATGTGACTTTGGTTATATTGTTAATTATAAATTGTTGCATATATTAATAAGATTCATAGGTCATTGAAAGAGTGAAAATTGAGTTTGTCATTAAAAATTGATCACTTAATTAACTTTGTTAGTTAAAGACATATTAAGGATTTGTTATATAACTACTAAGGGTTAGTTATCTAAATGTCCAAAATGGTTTCAGATTTACGAAGAGAGATTTGTTTAAATTGTTTCCTGAAACCAATTCTAAATTTGGCATTGATCTTTGGATTGGAACTTCAAATTCCATGCAATTGTCAGGTCGAAAGATCACTTTCAACTGTTCAAAAGTTAGCGAAGAAATGGTATTTTAGTATTGTTGAGTTTTCGGCTTGGGCACAGTTTTTTATTGTAATGTGCCAAAATATTTTAATCGGACTTTGCGCTGGTACTTATTCAATGGCCAGAACATCATTCACTGTGATGAATATTGCTGGTATAATTTTAGCACTTGTTAGTGCTTCAACATTCACTTTCATCAAAAATAACAAATTTTCTCTACAAATTTCATTGAAGCATAATATTTTTCAAAGTCAGAGAGCATACAATGCAATCAATTATGTTTCTATAATAGTGTCATTCATTGTCGTAATGTTAATCTTTTGCTTGGCATTACTAAATATTTTTGTTTCATATCCACTATGGCATAAAACAAGGCACTTTGAATACGAAGCATTATTCTGTAGCATAAAGTTTACTTTATGGACAAGTTATACCATTGGAGGAATTGCTTTTGTTCTATTATTAATTGGACTACTTATATTAGTGTTCGTAGCCGAATTTCAACAACTGTCAAACGAATTGGTGTCATTACGAAAAAACGAATGGAAACTAAAAGATTTCATGAATCATCACGAAGAATTATGGAAATTTGTTTCGCAATTCAACAGTAAAATGAATTTCCTAATTATTATTATCTACGGTAGTGTAGTATGGGGAACTAGCTTCAGCTATTACTTATACCTGTTTATAAAATTAAATAAAGCATTGAAATACATTATTTTTGGATTGGTTATTATTTTAACATTCGTATGTTTCATTGGTTCTTTTCTTGTAAGCTGTTTGGCATTTACGGTAAGAAAAATGTTAAAATAAATTTTTTCAAAACTTTGATATTTAACGTTGCATTTGTTTTCTTATTCTGTTTTCAGATGGAAAACACATTTCAAGATCTTCGTCAATTTGCGGCTTGCAATATGTCGGTGGAATCGAAGTTAAAAGTATGTCCATTGATAACTAACAAAAGATCAGGATGATCAGAAAAAGCAGGTTTTCAGAGCACACAATAGAAAAAAACTGCTGGACAAATCTCAAAAAAGTTTGGAACTTTATTGTTTTGATTATGCAGTTTCAAACTTTGTCAATGAAATTTCACTTCTTAACTCAACCGTAAGTGCGAAATTTGCTCCAGTAGCAGAATTGTAATGAAATTTTTAATCGAAAATTAAAACCGCGTAACGGATAAAGTATGTGTTCAAGTTTGGTTAAAATTTTGTCAACAGTTGTTTGAATAGAGCTTTCTGAGAACCTACTCGTTATGATCACCCTGTACTAAACTATTAAAAAACAATAATATATTCNTCAATTATGTTTCTATAATAGTGTCATTCATTGTCGTAATGTTAATCTTTTGCTTGGCATTACTAAATATTTTTGTTTCATATCCACTATGGCATAAAACAAGGCACTTTGAATACGAAGCATTATTCTGTAGCATAAAGTTTACTTTATGGACAAGTTATACCATTGGAGGAATTGCTTTTGTTCTATTATTAATTGGACTACTTATATTAGTGTTCGTAGCCGAATTTCAACAACTGTCAAACGAATTGGTGTCATTACGAAAAAACGAATGGAAACTAAAAGATTTCATGAATCATCACGAAGAATTATGGAAATTTGTTTCGCAATTCAACAGTAAAATGAATTTCCTAATTATTATTATCTACGGTAGTGTAGTATGGGGAACTAGCTTCAGCTATTACTTATACCTGTTTATAAAATTAAATAAAGCATTGAAATACATTATTTTTGGATTGGTTATTATTTTAACATTCGTATGTTTCATTGGTTCTTTTCTTGTAAGCTGTTTGGCTTTTACGGTAAGAAAAATGTTAAAATAAATTTTTTCAAAACTTTGATATTTAACGTTGCATTTGTTTTCTTATTCTGTTTTCAGATGGAAAACACATTTCAAGATCTTCGTCAATTTGCGGCTTGCAATATGTCGGTGGAATCGAAGTTAAAAGTATGTCCATTGATAACTAACAAAAGATCAGGATGAACAGAAAAAGCAGGTTTTCAGAGCACACAATAGAAAAAAACTGCTGGACAAATCTCAAAAAAGTTTGGAACTTTATTGTTTTGATTATGCAGTTTCAAACTTTGTCAATGAAATTTCACTTCTTAACTCAACCGTAAGTGCGAAATTTGCTCCAGTAGCAGAATTGTAATGAAATTTTTAATCGAAAATTAAAACCGCGTAACGGATAAAGTATGTGTTCAAGTTTGGTTAAAATTTTGTCAACAGTTGTTTGAATAGAGCTTTCTGAGAACCTACTCGTTATGATCACCCTGTACTAAACTATTAAAAAAGAATAATATATTCAATATATCTTTCTTTAGATTGTAAATTTCATGAAAAGATTCGGGAAAGTAGCATTGAGACTTTCTATTGGAGGATTATTTTACGTTAATAAGAGATTTCCAATCAGAGTAGGTATTTCTTTTTTTAATTGTTACCTACAATGTCGTTATAATCAGAAAAAGTATTTTTGAATGATTTAATAACAATGCCATTGTCTTTTTTAGATGGTGAAGTCATTACATTCTGTATTCTCTGGATTACTGAAATTAAGGAATGTTTCACACGGATCTCAAAAGTGTGATGATATATTGATTGAAAATACCACAAATATCTAGTCATTCACAATACAGAGCGCAGATTGAACTGCATAGACAATATTATTAGAGCATTAACAAGTTGAATGTTAATGCTCTAATAATATCGTTGAATACCTTGGTGAAGATTTTACTTTGGATACAGGATATATAGAGTATCTCGGTTACTGGAACGGGATATATATAATACATTTCTGACAATGCGATTGCATTTTGAGGGCTATAGTATNATTGAAAATACCACAAATATCTAGTCATTCACAATACAGAGCGCAGATTGAACTGCATAGACAATATTATTAAAGCATTAACTAATTTAATGTTAATGTTCTAGTAATATTGTTGAATACGTTGGTGAAGATTTTACTATGGATACAGGACATATAGAGTATCTCGATTACTGGAACGGGATATATATACTGCATCCGTGACAATGCGATTGCATTTTGAGGGATGTAGCATATAATAGAGTAAGCTACAAACAAAATTTCTGAGATAACTATAACATGAAGTTGTATCTTTACCACTATTGAAATTTAGCATAATCTGACAGTATAATTGAGCTTTCAATGTTTATTTCAGTTTGATTGAATTGAAAGTGTGAAGCTCCGGAAGTAGGTCGAAATTCGTGCACAGAAATGTTTTAATTTCGTATGAAAAAAATTTATAATTATTATTATATATTGTAAAAAGAAACCATCAAACGCAAAATGAATATTTAATGTCCATAGAAAGTCATATCTATAGAAATTTCTGAGAAAAAACGAATTTCTCAGAAAGAAACAATGGATGAATTTGAGTACTTAGATCGAATATCTTCGAAAAGAATCAAATTGACTCACCCCGCGATCTGGGCTCCGATCCCGTTACAATTCGTAACGAGGAGGGAGACCAATTAGAGAACGGGGGCAGATCGACATCGACCTATCGGAATGTTCGATCTGGGACCCAGAAAAAACTTATAAAAACCGAGCAAAAAAGGATGTGACGTTCTTGGTTTGTAGTTCTTGGCTTTTGGTTCGCAGTGCTCCTCTCCAGGATTCTTGTCATTTGGACATTCTCACACGAAAACTTGTCAGATATTCGGAGGACTTGTCTTCACCCTCCCGTGCCATCAAGATCGCTAAAGTCCACCTGGTAGATAGAAGACCTCGGTCCAAATAGTGTTGTGCAACCCGGAGTGGACGTCTTCACGCCAGCATCGCAGGAAGAAAAACTATCGTCAGAACAGTTAAACTTTTAGGAACGTTCTGTGGTTTTAGACTCTAAGTCATTGGCATGCTGAGATAGAAAGGAGCAAATTGCCCTTGGACATTATAAAACATTTTTTCGTTTTTTTTACTTTATATAACACTGTAACTCAATTTCGCAATGCATATTTTTTCCGATGTTACTATTACTCACTGCGCGGCACCGGGCTTTAGTCTATTGAGTTGTAAAACACAAACGAAAACGAAACTATAATTACAGAAATTAGAACATTTTTTAAATCTTAATTATTGTATCAGCATATATTATTAATACGTGAGAATTTTTTCTTAGTAAGGAATAATCGAAAAATGTGATGCATTAGTTGTGTTATTTGACAGCAATACCGTATATAAAATACTGAGGTACAAACATAAAGAAATACGGTCTAGAATTGTTTTGTACCACTTGACTGAAACCTGCTTTTTTGATGGAATTTCCGATATGTCGAGTAAGATGACATTTGTGAGTTAGAAGACTCCAGCAAGGTTCGATCAATTTTTGAAAGAACCGAATCAAATGATTGGGGTCTCTATCGTGTTCTAAATAATAGTATTTCCCTCTCTAAAATAATAATAAATACAAATTGTAGTTTAAAATCTTACTCTTGTAATTTATGAAATTAAGAAAAAATAAACTTACTTTCACCAAAACTCTTTTAATCTCTTTCAAGGACTTTTCCATGTCTTGCACCGAGCAAAGTACAAATGTACTTACTACAATATCCACGCTTTCGTCTTTTATTTCATTCATATCTTCTGCTCCAGTACAGTAGAAATTCTCCAAATGAAGACTTTCGAATTGACCTTTCTTTCGATTGAAAAACGACCGAAAATATTCATTTGGTTCCACACAAATTAACAAACTCTTCTCGGGATAAAATGCAAAGTTTCTTCCACCTGCCGGTCCTATTTCTAAAATTCTTAGTCGACCTTCACGAGAACGTATTGGGTCGGTAGAAATTTCTAATTTTATATTTCGTAAGCAACGTTTTCTTAGATTTCCGACAAAAAACTCCGCAATATAATACAGAACGATTTCGTATAAATTTGCAAACCATATTTTACTGCACCTTTCTGACGTTTTTAACAGAATCAAGAACAAAATAAATGTAAATATTATACCAAACACCAACAGCATTCTTTGTTAAAAGTGTCCAGCTATTTACTCACTACGCCAATGGGAAACGTGTTATTTTAAGCAAGACGTTATCAAGTATTATCACAAATATTTGAACTTTATATCGGGTAATAAAATGTAACAGTTTACATAAGAATAAAGTCCCCAACAATTTCAACTCTTGTATAAGTTTAAACAGTTAAAAAAGGAAAAAAATACTGAAAGCAAGTTGCGAAATTCTACTACGCGATTTTCTTCTGTTGGTGTTCTTGTTTGTTGCCTGTACGAAGTAATTTATATTAATAATCAAATGTTTAATGTATTTAATAAGTAAAACCTGTATATGTTAGTGTACACCTGAAATATTATGAATTGGATTATTGAAATTATTTTAAATGTAATTTACCTTTGTTGTTTTTAAAAGTATGCAAATACAACTGAAAATAAAGTATAAATTATTTAAAATATGTAGTAATATTATATATGATTATATATTTGTAAATTTTCTATTATATATTTCTGTTTGTACCATACATATTTTCTTTGATATGCACTTGTAGGTTTCGTAATGGAAAATTATAACAAAGGAATGACGAAGCTACTTATTTGCATAATTAATTATAGAGTCAATCTTGAATAAAATTATAAAGATAATATACTAGTGACTGAGTGAATAATACCACTGAACACTGGCTAGTTAGTTGGTCGTAGGTTTGTGTCAAGTGAAGTTTTATTTACGTTTGTAACAGCAAAATAGGGGCCAATTCCCAGAAAAGACCTCACGGAAGTCATCCCCTTGGATGTTCCGTTGCTGTAACCAAATANCGTCTCACGTAACTGCCGAACGGAAAGTCCGTTGTTCGCAGCAAGTCCGTTGCTCGAGTCACGTAACGGTCAAACAGAAAGTCCGTTATTCGCAGCGTCCGTTATTCGAGGCGTACGTTATACGAGGCACCACTGTATATAAATTAAGAAAAAAATCGCTAAATAAAAATTTTTGAGTCAACAAAACACTACCTGGACAAAAATATGTGAAACAGATGGTAGTCAACACACTACTGTCAAGTGCTGGCATCGGTTGTCAATAAAGTTCATTATTAATGGCCGTGGTGATGTCTGCCCTATGCCTCTTTTTGAATGCCACATAATACGGCTCACACCCTGGGTTGTTGAACTTATTACAGAATTGCTTCCAGGTCTGGTGTCGCTTCCTGTTCATAAGGGTCTTGTACACATTGAATTTCCTAGTTTAGTTATTTCTATGTAGAGCTCTGTCGTGGATGTTTTGCTGGCGTTGGTAGATCTTGCAGATCCTCCTGACCTCCTTGCGATGGTTGGATAACTCTCAGTCCCACCAAGGGGCTTTGGTGTTAGAATTTATCCTCTTCTTGCTGGCTAGGTAGTAACTGTGTATCAGAAGGTTAGTAAAATTATGGATACAGTTGTCTATTTCCTTTTCTTGCATGTTGGTTATTGCGGTATTGATACACCAATTTTCACGAATTAGGTTCTGAAAGGTAGGCCAATGAGTTTGGTGGTAATATCTGGAGGGCCAGTGTCTGTCTGTATGTTGATTTTGATGTAACGGTGGTCAATTGCGCTAGGCTCAGTGCAAGTAGTGCAGTGGGAGACACAAAGAGCCATATGAATGTTTGCCAGCAAGACGTTGATTCAGCTGTCGCCCCTAGTAAAGTGATAGATGTGGAGGGGGCTGGTGTTGCAGGACATAAGATACAGTGCCGCCACAAACTCCTGCATCCTATACCCCCTAGGGTCCTTGATGGGACTGTGCCATAAAAAAGACTTGTCATTTGTGTCCCCACAGATTAACCAGGGCCTGTCAGCTACAGTCCTGTTGATCGTATCCAAGTCATCTAGCATAGTCTTCGAAAGGGGAGCAGTAGATAGAGACGTGATAAATATATTGTTTCTATTCGTGTGGATAACACAAGTGGTTGCGTAAGAATTGGACAGGTGCGGCATAAACTGGACATTTAGGCTGGGATTTTTAACAATAACGTCCATCTTACAAGTTAGTGGTGATCTTAGACCCTCTAGGAGGGAGGACCCTCCACCCAGTATAATTCATGAGCTCTCCGTTTTGTAGTTAAGGCTCCTGGATGATTATCATATCTGAGCCCCAGTCCTCGGCGGTTTTGATAACTAGAGATGAAGGGGCTTTACTCCTCTGAAGGTTAATCTGAAGCAGAGAGATGGTGTTAGTGCGATGACTGTTGCTATTGCTGTCAACAAGTTGGTTATGATTGGAGAGGATGGTGTTGCTTGAGTGATGAGTAAGTGAGGTTCTTGAATTCTTTGCAAAATAACTAGAGCCCATAGATCATTTGTCAGATGGTCTGTGATTTCATTTTTAGAGTAACAGAGCATTGGGGATGGAAGACGTTATGGTCAGTTGCAAATTTTTCATGGACAGGAACATCTTTATTAGCATTCAGGCAGTTAGTACAGCGAGGGCTTTGATCAAGTTTTTGACAGTCCCCAAATTTGCGTCCTTTAGCACAGTGGCTGCATTTTTGTCTATTCGGGCAACTGGTCGAGATATGGATAAAGCCACAACACTGGTAGCGCCTCACCAGCGGGATGTAGTGGTTCACAAAGATATTTGCACATTCATCCGCTATGTGCTTGGATCTTAAAGGCGTCTCTTATCCTAGGAGCAGTGGACAGGATGAAATCTCGGCAATTCTCTGTGGCATTGTTTCTGAACAGGACTGTACTGATACGTGTAGATTCTAAGAATTCTTCTCTTGAGGTTACATGGAGGGCTTCATTTTGGTCGAATGTCATCAGAATAAGTTCAGATTCGTAAACAGAAATGGGTACATTGTTTAGTATGACTCTGGGACACCTTCCCTCAGAGTTTTTACTTTTAATCTTACCTGATACTTCTGGAAGTTTTTCAATGGCATCCAAGAGAATTTCAGCATCCTTTTGAGAGTTAGTCCTGAAATATATGCCCCTTTTACTTTCCTAATTGCCTTGACCTGTATCTTAAGATCATGTGGTTTGCCTTTCTTTATTATGTTGTTTTCGATCTGTTGAATGTTTGTCGTTTCGCCTTCTTCGTCTGTTTTTGGATACAGTATGAGGGCGAAGCTTCCTTCACTACCTTTATTGTCAAGTTTGCTTTTTAAGGATTTATTTATGGTTCTGTTTGTAGAAGCGGGTCTAGAATTAAGTTTAGTAATATTCGCATAGGAGACAGGTGGGGTAGCTAATACTGCAAGTGTGGAACATTGGTGGGAAGATGAGCAGGCCTCCTGTAGTATGCCATGGAATTGTTCCAGGCAGGAAAACAGTTGTGTGACTCTTTCACAAACTTCCGTTCACTCCTCAGTTCTGATATTGGTGCTATATTTTTCCCGCAATAGATCTAAGATCCTCATAAAATGCTGATTGACTTCACTTAAAATTTTGTCTTCTAGGTTAGCAGATCCGTTGGTACTTGGTGTCGCTCCATCTTGTGCCAAGTTATTTACGTAAGGCATTGTGGAGATGGAAAGTGTAAACAACCAACCAGGAGAATGGAGTGTGATTGATTAAGAGCAGAGGCCAGATGGGTGACAAACCTCACCAAGCAAATCTTAGCGTGTAGATCTTTGATCAGTGTTCTCACTGATCAAAGATTGGCTAGTACATAGGTTTGGGTGAGAATGAAATAAGCAAAGGAAAAGAAAGAAAACTACATAAGCTATAAAATGAATAAGTGCAGTAGAGCGTCGATTATCCGAAAGTCAATTATCCAAAAGAATTCCAGTCGGCAAATTTAAATTTTTGCCAGTGCTGCAGCGCAGCAATTTTTAGCTATGTCTTGGGCTACTCCAATATTTTCGTGTTTGTGTATGTGTTTTAACTGGCAGCACTGGTATTTTTGGACTCTGTATCCAGAGGTGTGTCGTNCATACATATTTTCTTTGATATGCACTTGTAGGTTTCGTAATGGAAAATTATAACAAAGGAATGACGAAGCTACTTATTTGCATAATTAATTATAGAGTCAATCTTGAATAAAATTATAAAGATAATATACTAGTGACTGAGTGAATAATACCACTGAACACTGGCTAGTTAGTTGGTCGTAGGTTTGTGTCAAGTGAAGTTTTATTTACGTTTGTAACAGCAAAATAGGGGCCAATTCCCAGAAAAGACCTCACGGAAGTCATCCCCTTGGATGTTCCGTTGCTGTAACCAAATAAACTAGCAAATAATTTTTATTTCATCAACATAATTTTTTGTATTTTCAATTTTTATAAAATAACGATTAATCATCCATTCTCTTAATTTTATATTGGCTATAACAGGATAAACTAATCAACTCCCATCTGTGTAAGTGGCAGCACTACTCATACAACAACATGAAATGAATGCTCAGTTCCCTTTGCACATATTACTATACAGAAACAATCGATTGTTAATTAACAACCATATTAATTGTTTCCTATTCAGAAAATGATGTTTGCATTTTACACAGTCAGTAGTTTAGTTACATTTTATGAATAGAATAATAATTTATGTTTTTATTTGTCTGTTTGATGTAGTAAAACATTATTGAATTTAACCTATTTGTATCTAGGATGGATTTGGAAGGTCATTATTATCGATATAATCCCGATACTCTTATCAAGTACATACCCGAATATAGAGTGGTGATTTACGTAATATAGACTTCAGTTATCGAAAATATAAACGAGCTTTACTTTTTATTGATAAAGATATAAACATGAAATACGGATTTGTATAAACAATATTTTTTCAATGCTTATTTATCAAAGTTTATATGAATATTTAACATATTTGATTTTGTATATGATAGACTTACTGACTGAATTCTTGGTAGACTGGAAAAAGAAAACAACCCTAATGTTTTATGTGCAACTACTCATTTTCTAATGAAGTTGTGGAATCCCTAAGACATATAGAACATGAAAATATATCCTAATAAAATGATTAAATTTGTTAATTATTTCGAAAATTTGAAAAAATTTAACCAAGAAAATACTTTTTTAAAAGGTGCAGAAACAAATGAAAGTAGATTAATTTTATCTTATGATGCAGCACAAGTAATTGCAAAAACTGGAAC